GTGGCCTCCTGGATCAACCAGACCTCCCGCGAGGGCTGCGGCGGGTTCCTGCCTGCGGGGCGCGCCTGGGCCCCCGGGGCGCTCTACGAACTGCTGAGCGCCAAGAGCGAGCGTGACTGCACGGCCGCCTTGGGCTTCGCCATGCACGAGCTGAGCCTGGTGCGTGTGGAGCGGCACTACCAGCCCCTGCTGCAGCCCCAGCAGAGCGGGAGCCAGCTGGTGGAGGAGCTCTACCTGGGGGACATTCACACCGAGTGGGTCGAGAGGCTCCACTACCGAACGACTGGTTATGGTTATCAGCGACCCATGCAGAGCGCCGTGGTAAGGATGATGCCTTCACATGGTCCCGCCGTCGGTTCACGGGTGTTGCTGAGCACAGGCAGTTCCCTCCCTGTCAGAATAGCCCCTGCCTGCACTTGGCTCTCTCCTCTTCAAAGGATGCATGGAGGGGTGGGGCTGTAGCTGCGGGTTCCTGAGGTGCTGCCTGGGTGCCCTGCGCCAAGTGGGGTTTCCCCTCTCCCTTACCAAGAGAGCAGGATCTGGGTGTGTGAAAGCTCAGCAAAACCAACATCAGAAACAGCCCTGTGCTGGTGTGGGCCTGGTGCTCATGGCTCTTCTTTGGCGCTGTTTTCCCAGGAAATGCAGTTTCCTAGTTTCCCACACCAAAGTCAGTGAAGGCTTCGGGCTGCACGTCATCAGAGACTCTGCTCTGCCGTCTGTCTTCCCTCCCTCTTTCGCTCTTTGTCGGGTCCTCCAGGTTGAGAGAGGAGCGAGGAAGCAACATCTGCCATTAAATCATTAGTCCTCAGTGTAATGCCATTAGGACAGGAAGTTGCCCTGAACACAATTATGTTAGTACACAGAAATCAAACTTTCATTTTGACATAAATAAAATGGAGCAGGAGACTTGGCTGCCTTTATTTTATTTTATATTCTTATAATACATTTTATTGTATTTTTCAGCAGGTTAGTTTACTTCCAGGAAAGCACATATCTATCTGCATCATAGGTAATAAATTCAGAAATGATTGAGCAGTGAGATGGGGTGAAAAAAAAAAAAACCTCTCTGAACCTTACCAGATAGAATAGAATTAAAATTATTTGGAAAAAGAAAAATGTTGAGGGGCAACATTTCCCCACACCCCAAACTACACCAATTGAACTCTGAAAAACACCCCTCTCCCTCTTGAAAGTAATGTTCTCAAACTGGTTAAACTTGTGTTATCTTGGGCCAAAACCATATACATGAGCAAAACCAGATGGTAAACATAAACACTTAAAAAAATTAATTTAAACCCAAGCCTGAAGATACTGAAATTCACTCTCTGAATAGCACTGTAATTAATCAGCTAACAGCTCTCCAATGGACCAGCACATGATGTCACCACTTGGCGGTAATTAGAAGCTGCCATACATGAGAAATAACTTCACACGACTGGTTTAAGCAAGTTAAGATTTTTGGCTCCATGTCTATAGTGATAATTTTATTGGGCACAGGATTTTTCTTTTTTTTTTTTTTTTTTTTGAACTAACATCCATTTGCCTGTGCTGGTGAGTTACACAGCTATGTTAGGAATTATTTTTTAACCCCCTTTAAGAAAATATCACTCTTTTCCCCTTAAATTTATATCTGTTTTAAAGAAACCCATTCTCCCCAAATTACCTTTCATTATCAAAGAATTTCCTGTCTAAGGAGTGCACATATATTTGCCAACTTCTGGGATTATTTAGCCATAATGTACTGTGTACTGTCTGCACTCATTAACGTGACAGTAGCAGTAAAGCAAGCTGAAAATGACTAAATTACAGTAGACTCCAATCAACTTGCATGTAAATTACCCACCCTACAGTTAACTACTGAGTTATTTAACCTTGTTGCATACGACAATTCAGTAAAGATTAGCTCGTGTTCTGGAAAACGGTACAATGTTCAAACTCTGCTTATTTGAAAATAAATCAGTTGTGATATATGAAGCCTAAGAAAAAATTCCAGCCTACACAAAAAGCCCTTCTGGCGTTGGATCAGCTGGAGGGCTGGTTTGACTCAGAGCTCTGCACAAAGCCCAGGCGGAGGAGAAGCCAAGGTCAGGTCCGTGGTTTGGAGTAGGTGCTTTTCTCCGTCTTTGGCTGCCCCACAAATCTCCCTCCCACCTCACCTGCCCCAGCCACCCCCTGCAGCCACAGGAGCACGGGCAGGGGCTGGGGCTGTGGTAGGAAGGGGGCGAGGGGGAAGCAGGATGTGTCTTGGCTGTCCTGGGGAGGCTGCTGTCCGTGTGGTGTATGCAGTACAGCTACAGAAGCCTCCCCATGGTGAGGTTTCACAGCCCTTCCGATTGCTGAAATGTCTGCATCCTTTTCTCTGCATGGGTGCAGAAGTGGAGTGGTGTAGCTGGCATCTCCCAGCACCCTCATCCTCGCCCAGGGGTAAGCGCAGCAGCTGGCAGTGGAACCCGGATGTGGCCCGAGGGAGCGTCCCCTGCCCTTGCAGCAGCTCTGCCCTTGCCCTCTCCTCCTCCCTGCCTGTCCTCGCCCTGGCACCGGGCAGCGCATGGCCTCAGGACACGGACTTGCCTGTCCTTCCTTCCCCACGTACCAGAATAGCAAAGAGCCAGGGCAGCGCTTTATCTCACTTAATCTTCTTGGATCTCTTGGGCAAAGTTCACTGCAGTTGAACACCCTGGTGCAGAAGATGGGAGCTTGAGTTTTTAACTTGAAAGTGGTTTTTTTTCCTTACCAGGTTACAAAAAAATGTTATTTTTTTAATTGCAGCACCACGTGCATCCTTGCCCGGCCTGTGGGATTATATACAGAGCTGATGAGCACCACCCGCCCGTGCTGCCCCTCCGAGCTCAGCTGCCCATGCAGCTCAGTGGCAGCTGGGTGAGCACCCACTGTGAGGTCCGGCCTGCGGTGCTTTTCCTCACCAGGTACTTCATATTCCACGGCAACAACCACACCTGGGAAGGCCACTACTACCACTACTCCGACCCACTCTGCAAACAACCGACTTTCACCATCTACGCATCCGGGCATTACACCCAAGGCGTCCCCTCCTCCAAAGTGAGAGGTGGCACCGAGCTGGCCTTTAAAGTCACCCAGGCTCGGGTGACGCCAATGGACCAGGTGACGGTGATGATGCTGAACTCCTCTGAACCTGGAAGCTGTGGGCTGACAAGCTCCTGGAGTGCCGGGGTGGAGCAGGACATAACACCCACAAATGGATGTTTGGCTCTGGGCATCAAGCTGCCCCACACAGAGTATGAACTTTTCAAAACAGAGCAAGACACAACAGACCGGAGCCTGCTGTACATCGGTGAGAGGCCCACGGACGGATCCAGCCCTGACCGCCCCGACAAGCGCCCCACGTCCTACCAGGCACCTCTCATACAGTGTGCTGGAGCGCCAGAGGAATTCTCTAACTATGTTAGTCTAAAATACATGGGAAAAAAAGATGCTAATGGGAATGAAGCACTAAAACCTTTGCCTGTGGCCTTTTTACTGTTTGCAGCACTTCTGGTTTTAAGATGGGACTAGTTATCTGTTCAGGTACAGCACAGAACTCAGACAGTTGGTGCTAGTGCCATTTTTGTAGCCTTCAAATGAGCACATCTGGGATCTGTTCCACTCCAACTGGGAAACACTTCTTAAAAACGCCCAACAACAGTGGATGAAGCCAAGAAGATACATCTGACTGCACACTGTTTGTCCTGTGGCTTTACTGCCTTATCTCCTCTCTTTGCGTACAAATTTAATGTAGTGCCACGGATACGCTGCACATTGCAATAGATAATTTATCAATATGAGGGGGGAAAAGGTGACATCAACTAAAACTGCTGCTTTGAGCTTTTGACATTGTTAAGTTTTAATCAAGAGCTTGATTCAGATGTAGTTCAAACATCCGAAGTGTCAGCTGCTGAGTTTCTTTGAGGTCAAGTTCTCTCCCATCATACTCCTTATTGCTGTTCTTGCAACTTTAATCTGCAGTCACTCAGCAATAGATAAACAGTCAGCAAGTGTTCCTGGGAAGGGTGCAGTTAATCACCCCTTTCTCAGTTTACAAACATTTTTGGCAGTTTCCAGTTTCTGCGTAGGCATGCACAGAGCTGCAACACAGTCTTCCACCTAGGTATGTACAAAAAGCAGCCCTCACGCAGCATTAGCTCGACAGACTGTTCCACCTGACCCCAGCCATACAAGTAAGGTACAGCAAGTGGACACTGATGCTGTGCACAGCTGCTCCATCCCTGGGCACTGCCCAGCTGCCACCACCGCCCCGTGCAGCAGCCAGGGGCACTGCCAGGCCCTCGCCGCACCCGCTCGCCCTGCACCACACACAGCAAAAGGTCCCTTAAAGTCTTCTCGGGCCATGTATCTCCACTGTCTCCTGTTCAGTAGGTGTACGGGCATACCAGTTGTTAATCCAGCTCTCCTTTCAATCAAAGTGGCACTTCCAGCATCATCCCTGCAAAGATGTTTTATAGATCTGCCTCTAGTGAACAATGAGCTGAGATATTCCAATCAGACCGCACAGTCAAACTGTGTTCTACTGACAGGAAGGACAGACTAAAATTATCTTCCCTGTCTGCTGCAGCTAAGAAGCATATCACTTACTTGGAGAAGACCTCCTCCCAGTAGCTAAATCCTCTCCAAATAAGCCTATATATCTTATTCACAAAGGGCATTTTGTTAAACCAGCTATGCAATACCTACTTTCTTAATGCTGTATTTACGAACTTGGAGCTTGTACTTAGATAAATTATGGGGTTTATAACATAAAAAAAACTTTGGGGGGATCTGTACATGAACTAATAATTCAAATGAGATGCTTATTAAATGCATACAATTGTGACATAAATGTTGTCAGCATGTTTGCCTGTTCCAGACATGATCAAGTCTTAATCACGCACATAACCCGTTACACTTTTAAGACAATACACAGAATGGCAAAGCTTGGCTAGCTCTGCTTTAGTTCCCTCTACAGTCAGCAGAGTCTTCTCCAGGGGTTAGTTCAGCAGGCAAAATACCTCCCTGTTTCTAAGGGCTGTTGGTTTCTGTTGCCTGTTCCCGCATGGAGATCCATGGGCAAAAGTTTGAAGAACTGGAAATGCATCGTGGAGAATGGGCTGTCTCCTTTGCGATATCCCTGTTGAGATGCTATGAGTCAGGGGAAGCCCAGGGTGGCACAGCTGCATCCCACGTAAACTGTGCACGTGGCAGAACCTTTTCTTCAGACCACTTTCCATCACTGTGCTAGAGCAGTTGGTCACAGCAGCCTGGAGGAAAGGTTCCCATGACTCAAACCAGCAGAACTGCATGTTTCTGCAGGACCCAAAGATGCCTGTGGCAAGAGTGAGCAGCCTTGTGCTGTCTTTGGAAGGTAGGTGGAGGAGGGGGGGAGAGGCAATTCCTGCCCTACATTCACCCCAAGAATGAGATTGTGGGCAGATGGGTTATTTTTCATTTACATAGCATAGAAATGTATTAAACTTAGGCAGTGCTCAGATATCACATGGTGTAAAAGCTCCTCGAAGACCACAGATCCTTTCAAGGTGATGAAGGGATTAACATGATCTAAAATGGTACAAGGCAACATCACACACTTAGGCAACATACGCAACAAGCACTTGATCAAGCTCCCACTGCCTCCAGTATCAGCTCAACCACCACTTGGCTCCAGCAGCCCTGGATGCTTCAAACTGCGCTGACTAAACTTCCCTGTGAAAGCAAGCCTCATCAGGAGCCTCTTGTCCTTGTCTTGCTTCCCCCCATTTAAGTATGCTTCTGAAAGGAACAAAAAAGCCATGGAAAAGCTATTTGCATAAATATTGTAACTTTTATTTTTCTGTTCACAATTTTTGGAGAAACATTCCTAAATTACACAGTTAATCTCTCTTAAGAATTTGTGCCTTTTTCCAATCTGAATTGGTCTGGCTTCTATTGCCAGTCAGAGATTCCTGTGTTGCACTTTTTAAGATCAGAGAAACACAGTGTTCAGTTATTTTCTCCCTGTGCAGGTACTTGTGCACTATCATCAAGACATCCTCATTTTTGGTAGATCAACTCAGCCAATTGAGTCTTCTCTCTCACCACCTCGAAGGCATTTTCACACCACCTGAAATTTTCCAATCTTTTTTTTCATCTCTTCCAATTACTCAGCTTCTCTTTCAAAATGTAAAAATGCAAATGGCATCCAAAATTCCCAACTCTCCCAGCTGAGACATACAGAAGTATAACTGCTTACTACTCATGGCAATGAAAAACCAGAACACATGCTTGTTCATGAGTCTTTTACCCTGGGACTACACTGGGAACACACGTGGAGCTCTTACTCACTCTGGCCCCAAGTATGGCTGTTTTTGTCATGTTGACATTTTATCAGTAGTGATTTTGTATCCATATTCACCAGTGTTCTGGAACCACTGAATCTATCAGGTCCCAGCAGAACCCCTCTGTGAGCATCCTCATTTTATTATGGTTCTCTTTGAACGACCCTGAAATGTGTCAAAGCACACCAAGCTTTGCAAGGGCCAGACACACCCAATTCACTCTAACCCCAAAGAAAATGAACACAGACAGAATGAAATGACTCCCATTAGCTCCCCACTGATGCTCCCCCCCTGGGTGGGTCAGGCTCCCCAAGCACTCCACCAGCCCCTCCTGCCCTCTCTGCCATCCTTCAGCAGCAGGTCAGCAACTGCCCCAGGGCTCCCTTAGAAATACTGGTACAAGGTTTCTAGACCTACTGAATCAAAATTGCTAATTTTTCCGTATCAAGCATTGCTAATGAATGACACCACCTTGCCAGTTCTTACATCATCACGAGCAGTTTTACCACCTGCATCTAGTAATGGACCTTATCCTACTGCAAAGATTTCCTTTTGAACTTCTGCTCTTTATCAGCCGCTCCAAGCACCCCAACCCATACATTTTTATTTTCCCTTGGCTATTCCTTTATTTTCTACACTTCATAACTCTCATTTTGAGTTGATTGCTGTCTGCTTCCATTTTTTCTTATTTGTTTTATATTACTTTACATCTAATTTTCTCCTTCATTTCAACACTGTAACAGGATGGGCGTTTAGCCAAAGCTGCTCCCCTTCTCAACTGCAAAATTATTGGGGTTTTGGCCATTTAATACCTTTCACTTAGAAAACTGCCAATTCTAATTCAGTTTTCCATCTAATTTCTTCTTCACTACCAGATTTGATATGGAATTTGCTCAGCTGTGCCCTCTGAAGCAGCAGCTACACCCATGAGCAGGTTGCATGGCTGTATGTCTACCTCAAATGTCATCAGGATTCCAAAGTCTAGTTCTGCAATTCATTTATCTTTATCTGACATAAACAGGACCAAATAACTTCATGTTTCATGTCTACCACTGCACTAGAAAAACAGATCCAGGACACAGACAACAAACATTAGTCCTGACTACTGGATTCCTTTCAACTATACAGCTTTTTACTGTGCCTGTGAAGAAAAACCAGGCTAATGTGCACCGGCAGGTTAGTAACAGCTGAAAGCCAATGGTAACAGGCACACGGCTCTTGGAATGCTCTTCCCCCTTCACTTCTTACATAATACTTTCTAGAAGTTTAATAATTTTTTTAACCACTCCAAAAAGCAGACAAAATAATTTTCAAACACTTGGAATACGTTTACTGGCTTCCTGCACTGAGCCTGAGCATTAAAATCTTTTGTGCCTCCTTTAATATCATAAGCTACTCAGAGAAGTTGCCTTTGCAATTTTCTGCTTCTGTAGCAAGCACAAAAATTTAAAGTGTGAGCCAAGTTTGTTGGACAAAGGTAGTTTTAGGTCTGATCAATTCACAGCTCAATTAACAGTAACTTAATTTTCTAATCAACTCCATGCCCCCATCTAAAACACCTTAGAATTTATTTTGCATTCTAGATTCCCCAAACAAACTGAAGCAAAAGACACAAAGAACTTTTAAACCACTTTTGGATATTAGCATCACTGAGATAGTGCTTTACTTGATACAATCCACACAGAACATAAAAAAAAGCCAGTTATTTACAGTAGATCTGCTGCATTCAAAGAACAGAATAGAGCTGGAGACAGAAAGATGGCTGACAAGACTCACTGCTCCCAACTCCACCCAGACGGAGAAGGAGGACGAGCCAATTTCATCAGAGGAAGCAGAGAGGGGAGTGGCTGCCTATGATGGGAAGAGGCATCTGGGAACAGTGAGACACGAATGTCAGGGGAGCGCCCTGCCAGGCGGCCCGGCTGCGGCCACAGAGTGCTTCTGTCAGCCCAAAGGCTGGGACACGGAACAGCAGACCTGGAAGGGCAAGGGAAGGAAGAGACCAAGATGGAAAATAAACAGGCAGCAGAGAAGAAAAGCCATTTAAAGATGCTCAGCTGAACATCAGTTTCTTTGCCAAGGAGCAGTGAAGGAAGAAGGATGACCTGGATTGAAGCAAGATGCTGAGGGAGGGAATGGAGTGGGATTTGACAGCTCAGGCAGAACAGATCAGAGAAGAAACTGGCAGGAGAGTCTGCAGCCTTCAAA